ACTAAGCTTCACAAAATGAACTAATGTTTGCACTTAAAGGAACCCCTTGTTCATCTCTTACAACTAGAAAAGAAAAGTACTTGAAGAATAGTAGCTTGGTAAAACCAAATTAACTATGTTAAAATAAAGGAAAAGTCATCGGGGTTGTTTATATTGGGGTTAATTATGAACCTAAATGATTTTTTTGGGGAGAGGGGTTGTGTAATGATGCAGTGTGACAAACGAGTTATTTTCTAACTTTACAGCATAAAACTTCACTTGTTCAGTTTTCTGCTTTGGTCTATATGCAAGTCTAGAGCTAGCGTTTAAAGTCTTTGTAGGATTTAAGCTTTGGTGCATTATGAGAATTTATTTATGCCAATTTCAGAATAGTGAAGGAAATGAAAACTTGTATCATATAAAATCTAAGCATTTGTTTTCAACACACCCCAAGGCTCCTTTCTCTCTTATGGTTGCAGCTTTTTTTTTATTTTTTATTTTTTGCTCACATATGTGTGTCCTTTTTCAGGTCTGAAAACTGTGTATTATTCACATTTTTTACAGGCTTTCAATACTGGGAAAAATCTGGCTTAAAGGAACTTCTTGGATAAAAAATCTTTCTGTACCTATACAATCCCAATGTAATGATGATAATTATCTTCACAGAACAGGGATTTAACAAAACGTACTTATTGGTTTGTTTCCACAACTAGTTGTTTCTACAACTGATTGCTTTAATCTGGTCCAGGTCAAACTTTGTGAATATAACTAGCATTGTTGTTTCAGACGGTGTGGTAATCTAAAGAAAGTGTGGGTTTATCCACTCTTCAGATGTTTAAGATGGTCCTGTAGACTTTAGATGCAACTCTGATTTCACTGCCCAGTGTCGTACACTGGTTAGTCAAATTAATTTGTATCTGGAGATACTATTGGCTAAATAAGGCTTAACTTGGCTGCTTCACTGCTCATAATATCAGTGGTTCGCATGTCAAAACCTTCAGAGTGTATCAGAAAAGATTTTTATCAAGTCTGATGTTTCACAGAGTGAAGAAAAGTAGGCAACAAACTGAGAATTTACTAAGTGTTGCTTAAAATTTGGTTAGAGTTTGTGAAATTGTATTTTAAAGAAATGATTTTATTTATTTAGAGTATATGAGGTAAAATTTGTGTAAAGCATCTGCATTTTGTTTTGTTTCAGAGTGACCTGGTAGAATGTACAATATTATAACCCATTTGAGTTCCTCACGTATTTGCTTTGTATAGGCTGTAAAGGAAGCAGCTCACACTTGTGAGGGAAAACATGGAGCAAAACTGCTGTATATGCCAGAAATTATTATGCTGATCACAGCAGGGACAATTAGTTTTTTTTTTTTTCTTTTTTTTTTTTTTTTTCTCCAAGTGAAATCACTACATTGACATTAGAAAATTGATTTTCTCTTTTATTTTTTTAAACTTGGGCATATGTTGTAAATGGAAGCTCACTGCTGTAAACTTCAGCTGAATAGGGTTTTGGCTGGACTTCGAATAAGTTGCAACCTAGCTTAATCAGTACTTCGTAGAGTCCCGAATGGCTTGGGTTTAGGAGGGAGCTTAAAGATCATCTAATTCCAACCCCCCTGCTTTAGGCAGGGTTGCCTCTCACTGCATCAGACTGTTGGGAGCTCCATTCAAACTGGCCTTGTGGATGCCCCGTATCTGGAGACGCTTACCTTCTCTGGGCAACCTGTTCTGGCACCTCACCACTCTCTAAGTAGCAATGAGGTCTCCCTGCAGCCTTCTCTTCCCTTCTCTAGGCTGAACAAGCCCAGCTCTCTCAGCCTGTCTTTGTATGAGAGGTAACGGAAGGAACGAAGAGCACAATAGCACTGTTCCATTGTTACACATTCCATAACACTGTAACATTTATTCCATGGAAATAAATAGGAGACATTACTTCTGGCACATCAAATGCACATTTGGTCTTCAGATTCATTTCTACAAAGGAAAACAATAGTGTGTAATGCAAAATATCAAGCTAATCCTTTGTCAGTTAAAAAAAGTCGAAATATTGAATGAAGTAATTCTCATATCTGTTTCAGATGACACAATCAATGTGAAGAATTTACATGATTTAAGATCCCTTTCTGAGAATACTGGTTCAGTGCTGTTGTGGCAGTTATGGCAATGTTTGCTGGTCATAGGAAGATGAATCAGTAGTACTATACTACTGAAGCTGTTCCTTCAGACCTCAAATGCACAGAATGTTAAGCAAAAGCCACTAGTGAATATTAAAACTCTGACTATAGAATCACTCTTCAGTGTGTTACAGACTAGACCACCTGTACTTTCAAACATCTTTTTTCCTTTTTAATACATAAGTGTTGAAATTTTCTTGTTGCTTCAGTTCTCCCTGTTTTTGCACCAAGAATTCTGTCGTGCAGTCTTACTTGAAGCCATTAATTCTTACTTGGATAAAATCACTGCAACAAAGTTTCTGTTGAGATTTTTTTTTCAAGTAGATATCACTCTTGTGTATTCTTTTACTAATCACTAATGCTGCTTTGAAATTGAATGGACTTAATAGGCCAAACAGTCTTTAAATTGGAGGAGATAGTTTTATTGTCTGCTGAAAAAATAGTTTTACATGGAAATTACATGCAAGAATGAGGGATGGAAAATGTTAAGGCTATGATACAAAGTGAAACATACCTGTGGGAGCCAGGGACTACCAGCCACTTTTAATTTCCTGATTTCCATTAGTTTGTATTTCAATCTCCTTATTTAAATGCTCCTTTTACATGCTTTTTTTTTTTTTTTTTTGTAATTTATTTGGAGAAATATTATTGGCCAGTTTCTAAGCATCTGTATGCTGACATTAGTTAACCATGTCCTCCTTTCACTTTTTGTGAAACTCAAGATTCTTGGGTTTATGTTGTCTTACTTTTCATGGTTTGTCGTATAATTAGGAGAACCTGGCTTGACTGCTTTTGATGCTTTGTACATATTAAGTTTCATTGCCCAGTATGTGGGAATGTAGACGGCATTTACCAGCTCATTAAGCTCTTTAAATTGACAGATGAATGGATTATTTCCTGTCACCACCACAGGTTGGTCAGTAGATTACACTCTGATGGACTCTTTCTAGAATATTTGAAAAATGTTCAGCTATCACAGCACTGACTGGCATTATTATTCTAATTTGCATATTTTGGGGGTGAAAATTTTCTGATTAGACAATGGCTTAATGTTGGTACTGTTTTCAAGTCAGGAAAGGCAAATGTTAAAAAACAAAAACCAAAAAACCTCTAGTTGATCCAGTTCCTCTTCAAAATATTAACCTTTAATACAAATATAGCATATTTTCAGGACCCTGTTTGTGAAGACTAGTGCGTGTTTTGACCAGTTATATGAAGTACATATAACGTTTAGTCTTACCAATGTACTTGACAGCATCTAAGAATCTGTTCTTGATCTGTTCTTAGGAACCAACAAGTTCAGGAAGGATGGCTTTTGCTTCTTTGAGTCTCAGTGTTAGTATCTTCCCCTCCACAAAAACCATGTGAATCTGAGAAAAGAAACTCACTGAACTTATTTAACAGTGGACTCTGACAATCGTTGGTTCCACTGTTGTCTAGCAGACTAGACATTGCGCTCATGTAGTCACAGAATTTTGTTACGGAGGTGATTTTGCTGTTCAGCTGATCATTTCCACTCAAGAATAATACAGCATGAGAAAGAACTGGACTGGATGGCCTTCAGAGGTCCCTTCCAACTCTGAGGATTCTATGAACTAGAAGACTGTGATTCAGTTGACTACAACTGGATACTAAAGCTGGCTTTTTGTTCTACCTGAGTAATTACCACCAGAAGAGCTGCCTTGGTGTTGATTTCTGTTAGTTTAGAAGGCAGATTCTGTTGGTTGCTTCCAGACTGTTGCCTCAAGTCTTGTTAAGTCTATAAAGATTCTAGTCAAAATAAGTCCTAGTAAAGACTGTTGTGAGAGTTGATGCTAATGCTGTGACAAATGAGTATTACTTCCCTATGCATGCACGTATGCGCAGCACATATATGAAACTTGCTTGTAAGTAGCTGAATCCTGAGAGAGATCATGAGAAATTATCATGAAATTAGCAGGCTGCAAAGTCTTATCTATTGGTGGCTAACACCTTTCAAGCTCTATAAGATTGTAATGAAAAACGAGTCAACTATGTGACTGACTTGGAAGACATTCCAAATTAATCACGAGGTCTCAATATTAAATATAGTTTAAGATTACAGAATGCATCGAGAAGAGATGATTCTACATCAAGCACTATATAAATGAAATAATGTGTAAATTATGAGACATTTAATAGCTTTGTAACAAATAATAAGACTTTTGCCATCCAGAATTCTTACTCAGAGGAATGTCTTTGGTTTGTGTTACTGAAGGCCATACTGGAGAGCACAAACTTGATGCTAATTTGTAAAGGTGCTCCTCAAAGTGCCTTGCGGGAAAGAAACTTAGATTTTTTTACTGGGTGCTGTCTGTGTAAGTGCTTTATTTATTTTATCTTATACCAAATATCACACATCTTTCATCTGATATATAAAAAGCATTATATTTGTATTTATATATTAATGTATATGTGTATTATGTGTACGTATTATGTGTATGCTGTGTACATATGTATATATGTACTTACATATTAATTCTGATGTCTGTATGAATTCTAGATGTTGCATTCAGGAACTTCTGTTTGTCCACTGTTTTAATACAACTGCTGAATTTAATCATTATCTGTCTCAAACTGTCCGTGTATTATTATTTAAATTTATTTTTCTCTGAATAATATTAGAAATATTTTTCCCCCTTCTGGCTTGCTGGGGAATTTTTCACCTGTACAAGCTGATGGCTATGACTTTTGTGAATCTCCAAATTGTATTTTACATATCAGTATTATTTGAAAATTCTGAATCCTTCTTTTGTAACTTTGTGTTTAAGGTGCTCTGTCATATTATATGTCACCTAATTTATTTTTATTTCCTGTTCCTGAACCTAGGGTTGGGAAGAAACTGTGGATTCTGCCATTTCTTTCTTGCTAAGGACTTGCTTGTCAAAGAGCTCTAAGGAACAAGCCCTGTCTCTCAGCAGCCAGTTAAGCATGCCCAAAGATACTAGCAGACTTAAGAAGAATATCAGCCTGTTCTGTGATAGATTGGCAAAAGGTGGTCGCCTTTCTTTAAGCACCGAAACAGCCACTCAGCAAGCCACTGTTGTGCCAGGTGAGACATGAACTTTATGTTCATAATTTAGAGCATATATTTGTATATAAAAAATTAAAAATGATGAGTACTTGATTATGTTTGGAGCTTAATTTTTGCTGGTTGTGGAAACCAAACACTGGTTGTGTTGCGAGCTAACAGAATGAGCTAGATAAAACTTTAAGATTATATTATTAACCCAGTTTGACCACTTATAACTCTTCATAGAGCATATGCATAAGTTATGGAGCAAATGTACCCCATATGGTTGTTTTGATACTCCAAATACTTTATCAGTTTTTTATTTTTAAACTTTTCAATTGAATGAACATGTGCATTTCTAACGTATGTGATGGAAAAGTGAGGATTGAGAAATTCCATTTTCTTGATAAATCCTACTTTTTTGATTGAGAATTTTAGTAGTATCACAAAATTTGTGATGTGCCTATGTCAAATACAAAATAGTCAATGTAACAATATGCAAGTTTAGGAAGTGGCAGCTGGGTAGATGATTTATGAAGTTAAAGATCAAACTAGCCTTGATTTATATTTCTCAGTTAGAAAAGGAATTTAGAGATTTCAGTATTGCACGATGTTAAAAATGAAAATCTTGGAGTAACATTTTAAACAAAAATGTTATTTGTGTCCATTTTTTAAAGCTATTACTTTTAGTTAACACCAGGAGCAAAATTACTTTTGATCTGGTTTTTAGTAGATTCTGAAAGATAGCATCTTCTGTTAGGCTGCAAGACTTTTCTACCTGCCTCTCTTCTCTTAATAAACACCAGATACTCCTCCTGACTAGGCTGCATGGTATTGTTCCAGCTTCCAGCTCTGTGTTTAGCTAGGAAGCTCATTCAGCTTTCATAGTCTCCTAAAGCACATGATGTCACTATGTTCTTTGGCCTCGATGACATCCTTCACCTACAGTAGTGATTGTCCCATTCTACTCTGCCCTTGGGAGGCCCCTTGTCAGATACTGCATTTACTGCCTGGTGCCCCTAGAACACAAAAGATGTGAACTGCTGGAGTGGGTCCAGAAGAGGACCAAGAGAAAGACCAGAGGGCTTGGAGCACCTCTGCTATGAAAAAGGCTGAGGGAGTCAGGCTTGTTTAGTCTGGAGAAGATCTCATTACAACCTTCCAGTGTTTAGAGGGAGATTATAGGTAAGATGGAGATCAACTTTTGTATGTGCAGACTAGGGGGAATGGTTTTAAACTAAAAGAGGGGAGATTTAGGCTAGATGTTAGGAGGAAATTTTTTACTCATAGCATGGAAAGGCACATTAACGGGTTGCTTGGGGAAGCTGTGGTTGCCTCATAGAGGCATTCAGGGCCAGGTTGGATGGGACCCTGGACAGTCTAATCTAGTGGGTGGCAGCCCTGTCATGGCAGGGGGTTGGAACTTGATGATCTTTAAGCTTCCTTCCAAACCAAGCCATTGTATATTACAAGTCAGTAACATGATCCTCTTAAAGTAAAACTCTGGCTTTGGGACGTAGTTATATATCTTTAATGATTCCTCTTTGCGAGGAAGATTCGGTTGAAATGACTGAGAATCATGATTTAAGAGAAACTTAGATGAGTAGAATTCAGGGAAGAGCATAACAATTGTAATTAGTTGAAGGTTTTTTTTTTTTTTAATTATCTCTATTTAGAGGAATAGGAAACGTCGAAGAGGGGCAGAATAGCTTTCCAGTATGCAAAATGTTCTTATAAGCACTGTCAACTTCGTACAAGTTGATCAGAATGATTGGCTGAATGTGATCATAGGTAACTGCAAGGCACATCAGACTGCATCATACACGGTGTTGCCTTTGGCAATAGAAATCTGAATGAGGGGAAGGGTGAGGGTCTTGGGGAATGGGGCCAACCCACATGTAAGTCAAAGCCAAGTGATTTTGGAAGGAAGGTGTTGTCGACCACCCAAGCTGTCATGTATTGAGTTTAATGAGTGTGAGTATTCATAGAATAACTCCTGCTTACCTGAAGCAAATGAATTCTAGAGTTTATAGAGGTCTGTTATGATGTATTTTTCAAGATTGTTTTGAGAACCTGAATATATGTCAGCTGGGGGTGTTCTGAGAGTTCTTTAAGTCTGTGTTTGGTTGGAGCTCAGTTTGCACTATTTGCCTCACCTATATTTTGTGTCCCTCACAACTCTTCAGTTTGAATGTGATCCTCTTCATCCTCTAGCAGTTCCTGCTGTATCACTTCAGTACTTTGTCTAAGAAAGGATTTTTACTTTTAAACTATGACATAATTTTTCTTCAAACACTTTTCCTCTTCTTTATTTTATTTTGTTTTGTTTTAATTTATTTATATTTAATTTTTTTAATTAAGTCATTTCTTGGAAGACAAAAGCTTCCCTTTTGTTTTTTTTTCTTTCTCTGTCTCTCTCTTTTTTTTTTTTCCTGAAGGTTGTAAAAGAAGGTATTTTCAAAATCCTGTAGTATTGTTCATCAGTGATTTGAAGCTGTGTTCTTAGCTGGAAAAGTGGAATGCAGCAACATATGTCATATTTCCTAAAGAATCCTCAGTTGATGTGCTGCTACACATGAGGAGAACATCAGTTGAATATTGGTCAGTACTGATTGATGGAACATGTAGTCCACTGAGGTCAGTGGAAACTTTGACATTATCCAAATCAGATCCAGCATTTTACTCATAATTTTCATAGAGCTCCTTGCCTGTTTTTGCTATTTCATGATGCAGGGGTGATATTTATGAAAGTGCCCTGGGAGTTACCTCGATCACATTTGTACCTACATGTGATCTCAGGAATTGAACCTTAATAGAATTGCCTGTTTCTCATTGAAAGTCAGTTTGTTGAGGACTTCTTTTCCCTAACTGTGCCCAGAGATCTTGCAGGCACACTTATAAATCAGCACATGTCAATCCATTTGTATTGGTTCATTTGGAAAAGCACTTCAACATGAAATTGACGTTAAGTCACTTTAAATTTTGCAAAGAAAATTCTAACTCATCTTTTCTAGCTTGCTTAAAATCATATAGATTGGTAAATATAGTGTCTTGGGAGGCTGATTCCCTCAGGAATTGGGTCATCTATTAAGAGTGAAAAATTAAAATTGATGATATTGAAAGACTGAATTCTGCATTTTATGCAGAAAGATGGTGTGTTTCTTACATTTGTTGGTTAGATAGGATTTTTTTTGGTTGGAATGAATGTGGCTGTCACTGAAATATCCCATTCATTACCCTTCATTCTCTAAAACACTCAGACGTCTCATGTGCAAACATATCTGATGTGAAAATCAACGTATGTTTGCATTGTAACATTTATGTATTTTTTGTTCTTTTTTTTTTTTTTTTGGCCAAAATTTCTCTGTAAGTAGAAGCTGTATATTGCAGCAGTTTTTCTCGGGTTTGCTTCTCTACCTGTCTAAGATCATTTGCTTGCATTGAAACTAAAACACACCACCCATCACTGTGTTAATTTTTTAAACTTCCCTTACTTCTCTACCTTAATAAAGGCAAAGGGAAACATTGGGTAAAATGTGTACTTTCTATTTCTTCTCTGTAGGTCTTCCTTCTAGTAAGGCTCCTTCTTACCAGTATGGCTCTTTGTTCATGCTCTTTTCCTAAATTTTCATACTTTTTTTTTTTATTATTTCTCCACTCTGCATTACACTTCATTGCTTTCCTTCCTGTACTTTTGATGTCCATGCAACTATATACACAGTTCCTTCATTGTGATAGTCAGGGCAAGTAACTATACTCCCTCAGGTGGCTTATGATAAATACCTCTGACTGTGTGAGGTAGCAATAAAGGGATAGGAAGACCATTTTCTTGGTTAACTGTCAGTCTCAGTGGCCCAAAGCAGTTATTGCAGAGAAAAGCCTGTGGTACTAACATGTGTCTGTCGGGCAATGAAATTATGGGAAGGTTTGACAAAGGCATAACAGACTAAATCTTTAAACAGCACAATCGTTCTGTGCTTCTGTATCCAATTCTTGCAGTTCTGCATGGTCCAGCTGTTGAGCTCATAACATTGTGCTCTGCTAATTGCCATGCAGGTAATCACGTAAGAATCACAGTAAGAACAATGTTGCCATAACTCTTAACAGCCCATAGCATTGCCGTGCACTTCTGCTGTATTGTGTCATGCCAGCTAATAATGAGACTTGATATGGCATAAAATGCAACATGATACAGTGGTGCAAGTTTAGCGTGACTACTAGCTCTCTACTGTTAAAATATTTTGGAAGGAATTTATCAGGTGTTCATGGTGAACACTTCTATCTTAATTCAAAAGGCTAGAAACAAGCAAATAGTAACACTGGATATTTAAAACTAATTATTTGGGATCTATTTTTGAAAGTCAAATATGTCCCTTGCTTCGTAAAGCTGATTTAATGAAAAGGAAGGGGAGTAGCAAGTCATCAGGGAGAATTTTGGGAGTACTTACAGTAAAGAGATTTTCTGGTTGCTCAAGAAAAGCTTAAGAATGGCTTGGTGGAGCCAGAAACATTATTTGGCTCTCTGATGTGGTATGTTACTCCTTGTAACTAATTTCCATTGTAACTTCTCTCTTTAAAACTTTTATTTCCATTGTTTTAGTAGCTTTGGTAATTTAATTCTATGAAACGGAAAATTGAACTTAAGTGGCACACCCAAGGTCATGCCATGAGCTAGTAACATCTGTATTAGTAGAATTGAAGCGTAATGCCTTTCAGCTTTGTGCTGCAGCACCTACCTACATTTGTTTTTAGGTGTTTTATGACTAAAAGACAAGTTACAGATGACTGGATATTCGTAAGCCAGTTTACCTTGCAGTCTATACTTATATCTATCTGTACAACCTCGGAAATTGGATCATAGGCAGGGGAAGAGAATGAGGAAAAATGTGTGATGTGGTCTTCAATTTAGCCTAATTTAATCATGGTGGTTGACTGAGATAATTGTTTTTTTCAAGTTGTTACAGAGGTTGCATAAGAAATGGTAAAACATTGAAATTATTTTTAAAGTTGATTTTTCTTTTAGAGTGAAAAGAAGCAAA